CAGTTATTAATAAAAAAAAAAAATGTAACTTTAAAAAAAAAAAAATTCCCCTTTCCCTCAAACTTTGCGTGACCCCCCTGGCGCCCCCTGGTGGCTCCCCCGTTACGTATTACGTATACCAGGAATTAATAAAAGAAAACTGATGAGGTACTGTATCATTTTAGGTCTACTTGTGTGACTGCCTGTATTGACATATTTTATGCTCACTGTCTCTATATGTTTCAACAGACATGTACGTTAAGGACATCCAGACAGGAATCTGTGCCAAGGACGGTGAGCCGGTGGTGGAGAAGGAGAGCGCGGCCACAGCTCTGGTGGATGGGAAGAACCTGCTGGGTCCTGTGGTGGGAAACTTCTGCATGAATCTGGCCATTAAAAAGGCCAAAGAAGCTGGCATCGGCTGGGTGGTGGCACACGGTGAGTTGTTGCTGTAACTGTAGGGTTATTCTTTAAAAACGTAACTGCTATGTCTGCTGGACTTGTCAGGTTCTGTAAACACTTGAATTTATAATTATGAAACTGGATAGAGCCAACGTTTGTCCACTGGAAAAACCTGTTCAGACGTTACTTTTAAAATGATGAATGCAACAACATGCTCAGGTTTCAAATGTAGGTCTGTATTTGATTTAACACCCGGCATGAGTAAAGGATCGTCTTCACTGTTAAAAGGTTTGTAGTTTAGACATGTTTGGCTCATATAACATGCAAATTAAGTGCAAGAATACCAGAAACCAGAACCACTGTAGTGTCTGACTTCCAAGTTTGTTACAGAAGAATTTTACTAGACTAAAATGGTCGTCAAATCTCTCTAAATAACAACAATGAATATATATTTTCTTCAAGGCATTTTTCTGTTTTAGGTTCCAACCATTACGGTATTGCTGGATATTACTCAATGCAAGCTCTGAAGGAAAACATGATTGTGAGTGAAAGGATTATCTGCCATTCGTGAATTGAATTTACTTTGAATATCCTTTATTATGAAGGTGATTTTCTTAACGGTTTTTAATTGCATGTCTTATCTGGCCAATGCAGGGCATGTCCTTCACCAACACGTCTCCACTGGTGGTTCCCACACGTGGTAAAGATGTACGTTTTTTGTACTGAATAAACTGTATACATATGACTTGTGCCCTTTGCAACCAGTGCTTTTAAAGGCTGGGCTGACCCATTTTCTAGTACAATACATTTAATTGTACGTTTTACCCTGTGTTAACCTCCATAAGACTGATAAAGTATTACTGCGCTGATAAACATCTGCTCTGTCTGATCCTAATACTGTGAACCTGATGTTTGTAGTGCACTTTGGGCACCAACCCCATCAGCGTGGCCGCTCCGGCTAAAGATGGAGACAGCTTTGTTCTGGACATGGCCACATCAGCAGTAGCTCTTGGAAAGGTAAGATCAGGTTTATACAGAGAATATAATAGTGTAGAATACTTTCAAGTTTCACGTGGGGTCGCGAGGCCTTCTTGAGGTAATGGGATGTTGTTGTTTTTTTACAGTTAGCTTATATCTCAGGTTTTCAATCATGTATGTAAAGCAAACTAAATTAAACTGTTTAAAGTCTGGATTATTATACAGTGCTTAAGTTACTTGTTATTGTTTAACGTCATCACACAATAAGAGCACGGCAAAGACCTGAACACATGCTGCCTCATTCATAAAGCCTTCGCTCTCTGCTAAAAACAGCCAGGGTTAAAAAAAAAAAAAAAAGGAACTCATGAAAAACCACCAATAGCTAACAGAACAATGACAGTGACAGGGAGAAGAAAACACTGTAACACTTTACGGTAAGGGTAGATGAATCATCATGAATTCATGCATGACTTAATGCATGAAAAAGCATGAATTAATTCATGTAGTACTCATGTAGTACTTCATGAACTATCAGTAATGTACAGGTATTAATGGTATCTCATGCATGACTTAATGCAGGAACAATACCTTAATTAATGCATCAACTAAGGTATCTCAATCATCATGACTTCTGAGTTATTAATGATGTTCATGTCTTTTTCATATAGATCTGCAGTTAAAGTGTCAGGCCAAAAAACTGACCAGTCACAGCAATTCCAAGTGTTGTAATCATGATTAACTAAGCATGACTTTGTCATTACTTCATCATGATTGTGCCCCTTCAAATAAAGTGGTGACCCGGTCGGTCGGTCATAGCAGTGCATGTAGTCTGTTGAATTCAAAGTGTTGTAATCATGATTAACTAAGCATGACTTTGTCATTACTTCATCATGATTGTGCCCCTTCAAATAAAGTGGTGACCTGTTCCATCGTTTACACTGATAACATATGATTAATGTTCAACACACTGAACAGGGCTGGGGTCAACACTTTGAATTCAACAGAATACATGCAGCTAAGACCGACCGACCGGGTCACCACTTTATTTGAAGGGGCACAATCATGATGAAGTAATGACAAAGTCATGCTTAGTTGCTCATGATTACTCAACTCAACTCAACTCAACTTTATTTATAAAGCCCTTTTCAAAACAGCCGGAGCTGAAACAAAGTGCTGCAACAACACTACAACACTTGGAATTGCTGTGACTGGTCAGTTTTTTGGCCTGACACTTTAATTGCAGATCTATATGAAGAAGACATGAACATCATTAATAACTCAGAAGTCATGATGATTGAGATACCTTAGTTGATGCATTAATTAAGGTATTGTTCCTGCATTAAGTCATGCATGAGATACCATTAATACTTGTACATTACTGATAGTTCATGAAGTACTACATGAATGAATTCATGCTTTTTCATGCATTAAGTCATGCATGAATTCATGATGATTCATCTACCCTTACCGTAAAGTGTTAACGAAAACACTGTGTCCGTTAAAATCAGGTAGTCAGATTTTTTTTTAAAGAAATGACAGACCAAGTATTGTGATTTCATTGAAAAAGTCCTAAACATAACAGCAACATCAACAATCTACTCAAAACGCATTCAAAATTAAGTTTTACACAAACTAACTGTAGATATTGCATTCACTATTTTAGTTAATTGTACATTATATGAGTTCCTCTGCACAAACACTGTTATTTTAGTGCAATGAGTATAACCCATATCCATAAAGTATGTATCTTTATCAGGGGTCTTCAGTTTACTAAATGTTTTAAAATTTAATTTAAAAAAGGGTTATTTTAAGGAAAAAGAGTGCATACTTTGTCAAGGTCATGTGACATTACCTGGACCAATGGAGTTTGATCCGGGCCATTATACTAATGCCACATGTGTGAGATATTTACTGTAAATAGATATCTAAAACGAAAATAGATTTTGTACAAGAGGCAAAAGAGAGCTCTGAATTAAATGTTGGTTGAAATTCTATCATATAATTTGCGCTTGACAAGTACAGTACTTTGTAACTGTGGTCTTAAAATGCCACATACTTAAAGTCTTCTTACAAAATGTTCTTGGTGCTCAGGTGGAGCTCCATGAGCGGCGGGGGGACACCATCCCTGAGGGCTGGGGCTGCGACGCCCAGGGGAAGCTGACCACCGACCCCAAACTGGTCCTGAGCGGAGGAGGACTGGTGCCCGTCGGAGGCAGCGAGGCCACAGGTCAGACACAAGAAAGTCTGCTGAAACATCCTTTGTTTTTCATTTTGTTCTGTCTACGGTTAGATATGGGGAAATCATCCTCCTGTCATCCATCCTTCCTTATTTTCACACATAGTTTATGTCACAATCAGAAAGAATTGTACTGTTTCTAATAAAGTTGTACTCTGATTGAGTCAGTTATGTGCAGATAACAAATTCCACTTGATGTTTCACTTTTTTTTTCGAGACCCCCGAGTGGGGGTCGCGAGATGATTAAAAAATAAAAATGGAAAATTTAAAAAAAATTATTAAAAAAAATTGATTAATTTTTTTTATAATTTAAAAAAATATATATTATTAATAATAACGTTTGCATTTTTTACTTTGACAATCCACTAGCGCAGTGTTTCTCAAACTTTCCTTTTTTTTCTGAAATTAATTCCTTTCTTTCCCCCCCGTCAAACACACATTTATATACTATAGCTACATAAACACAAACAACATTAACAAACAACTCATCTGATTTGAGAACCAATCTAATACAGATGTGAAACAAAAATACTGTTTTCAACCATCATTAAGTCAAACACAAAATTAACATTAAAATGAACACTTAACAATTCTTCAATCGTTTACCACACACTCATAAGAAACACAAGTGCTAGCTTAAATTGTGTATTTATCTATCCTGTACTTTCAGTTTTCTCGGGAAATGTTTCCTCAGTTATATCTTATCAGTTCAAATATCTAGGAATAACAGAATCAGGGAAGACGTTGTCCATACACCCCTTTATATGATTAAGTACATTTGTTGCATTTGTGTTTGTTTTGTTTGTTTATTTATTTAAAGGACAGTGCACATTGATCAACATTGCTGTAAACGTGCCAGTGTTAGCCAGCAGGCTAATTTTCAACTGTTGTCCTTTTGGCAAGATGTTAAAATAGTTCTTAAGATAGTGGTTAAATGTATGATAGGAGGTGTTATTCCTTATCTGTATTGGTATTGTGTTCCAAAGTGTTGATGCATTCAACCTCTCTGTAAGATAACAAATAAAGAGTGTGTATCTGTGTTGTTTCATCAGGAGGGTACAAAGGCTATGGACTGGGGATGATGGTGGAAGTGTTCTGTGGTATTTTGGCCGGTGCTCAGTACAGCAATCATGTCCGGACGTGGAAAGTAACAGACCGTGTTGCCAACCTGGTACGTTAGTTAGTAATATCTTCTGACTGTGTGTTTTAAAGAATATGAACATTATTAAAGTGGACCTATCATGCTATATTTGAATAATATAGTGTAGGATCATACCTATATAAGGCATATTTATACTTTTTATTTTTCAAAATACCAAACAGATCATGCATTTTAGCCATTCCTCATTTCGCTCAATTGAACACTGTCTTTGCATGGGCTGATTCTGTGAGAACAGCACCATCTACAGGCCTGACATATTCACTACAGCGTCTCCAGCGCTTTCGAACGGCAATGTCGGTGGCTGTCTCCTCCTGATTGGTGGAGTTGGCCCAATAGCCGTAGCGCCACTTCTGTGACGTCAGAGAAGTGTTCAAATCTGGATCAGTCTGTATCAGATCCGTTGCAGCCCCTTTTTAAGAGATTTGGGTATGGAGGAAAATAGAGAGGGTTGTGTTTTCTGACACTTGGTGAGTTCCCTGGAACACCGGGGACACATATTCATGTATAAAAGACGAGCAAAAGTGCATTTTGCATGTATATCACCTTTAAGCTATATATCATAACTGATTCTTGAACACAGTCTTCAAATGTTGTGTATTTATCAATTTGTATGAGGGTTAGGGTTATATTGTGCATGTATTGTGTTCCTCTAGTCAAAGTTGCTAAACTACCAGAAGTATGAATATGTTCAAGAGAGAAAGCTTTTTCACACAGTGATGTTTAGCTGAATAGCTTTTCAGAAACAAAGAAGGTAAAATTATCTTTTTAGAGCAAAGAAACATGACGGTGTATTTATTTAAAAGTGTTATGTTTTGTAACACCATTTTGAAAGCCATTATCTACAAGATAATAATAATAATACACTTTATTTGTATTTTTATTTGTATAGCACCTTTCATGCACAAAGCAGCCCAAAGTGCTTTACAGAAAACACAACAACAATATCAAAATAATATTAAAATAAAGCCGGAACAAGATAAAACCTCTACAGTGATCCTAATGAGATTCCCTTGAATGAAAGCTGACAAGAAATTAAAACAGGTTAAAGGAAACAATTAAAAAAAGAACATTAAAAAATGAAAGCAAAACACAACAAATACAGTAAAACTGGACAATGATACTAGGGAGAATTGAAAGTTAACCCAAATTAAAAAGATAGACACATTGAGACGTAGGCCGTATCACATCTCCTCTCTTCTTTCTGTGTTTCTGTTTGTATTGGCTCAGTTCGCTGCGTTCTCATCACTTTTTGGTTATTCTTTAGGGTCAGTGTTTCGTTGCAATCAACCCGGAGAACTTTGCTCCCGGGTTTGCCGACAGGATGTCAGACCTCCTGTCCATCCAGAGGGGGATGGAGCCTGTGAGTGGATCCTGCTGTGGTGCTGATAAACACTGTACATAGGGAGGAAACACATGTAGATGATGTCCAATGATTGCAAGCAGGCTCAGTCTGATAAATAAAAACATTAAAAAGCGCTTCAGTTGCTTTGAGTTTGATGTTGGTTTGAGCTTCACGTTGCTTTGAGCTTCACGTTGCTTTGAGCTTCTTTGAGCTTCACGTTGCTTTGAGCTTCTTTGAGCTTCACGTTGCTTTGAGCTTCTTTGAGCTTCACGTTGCTTTGCGCTTCACGTTGCTTTGAGCTTCACGTTGCTTTGAGCTTCATGTTGCTTTGAGCTTCATGTTGTTTTGAGCTTCACGTTGCTTTGAGCTTCATGTTGCTTTGAGCTTCTTTGAGCTTCACGTTGCTTTGAGCTTCACGTTGCTTTGAGCTTCACGTTGCTTTGAGCTTCATGTTGCTTTGAGCTTCACGTTGCTTTGAGCTTCACGTTGCTTTGAGCTTCACGTTGCTTTGAGCTTCATGTTGTTTTGAGCTTCACGTTGCTTTGAGCTTCATGTTGCTTTGAGCTTCACGTTGCTTTGAGCTTCACGTTGCTTTGAGCTTCATGTTGCTTTGAGCTTGAGCTTCACGTTGCTTTGAGCTTCACGTTGCTTTGAGCTTCACGTTGCTTTGAGCTTCATGTTGCTTTGAGCTTCAGTTGTTTGAGCTTCACGTTGCTTTGAGCTTCACGTTGCTTTGAGCTTCACGTTGCTTTGAGCTTCACTTTGCTTTGAGCTTCACGTTGCTTTGAGCTTCACTTTGCTTTGAGCTTCACGTTGCTTTGAGCTTCACTTTGCTTTGAGCTTCATGTTGCTTTGAGCTTCACTTTGCTTTGAGCTTCACGTTGCTTTGAGCTTCATGTTGCTTTGAGCTTCACGTTGCTTTGAGCTTCTTTGAGCTTCACCTTGCTTTGAGCTTCACGTTGGTTTGAGCTTCATGTTGCTTTGAGCTTCATGTTGCTTTGAGATTCACGTTGCTTTGAGCTTCACGTGTTTGAGCTCTTTGAGCTTCACGTTGCTTTGAGCTTCACGTTGCTTTGAGCTTCTTTGAGCTTCACGTTGCTTTGAGCTTCACGTTGCTTTGAGCTTCTTTGAGCTTCACGTTGCTTTGAGCTTCACGTTGCTTTGAGCTTCACGTTGCTTTGAGCTTCTTTGAGCTTCACGTTGCTTTGAGCTTCACGTTGGTTTGAGCTTCACGTTGCTTTGAGCTTCACGTTGCTTTGAGCTTCACGTTGCTTTGAGCTTCACGTTGCTTTGAGCTTCATGTTGCTTTGAGCTTCACGTTGCTTTGAGCTNGTCAACTACATGGTAAGAGATGTTGAATACAGAATTCATCTGAAACATCTAATAAACATTCCCTCCAGCTCTTGGAACATATGGACTGAAAATGTTTGTTTGTTTGTTTGGTCCAAATGAAGAGGGTTTCAAGGATTCAAAGCTTTATTGTCATGTGTACATTAGCTACAGTGCCGATATGGCAATGAAAAACTTAAGTCACAGGCTCCTCCAACAGTGCAACATGAATATATATATAGGAAATAAAACAAATAAAAGGTTTAATTATGTAATATTGTCTTTTACTCACACCATTCGTACTTAGAAAATGCTGGAACAGATGTGATCCATTAAGACTTCCTATTATATATTCTTAAAGCTATAATTTGTATGATGTAGATAAAGTGAACAACCAGCATCTGGAAAGCTAGTTTAAAGACTTACAAGTGAAGGGAAACAGCTAGCCTGGATCAACGCAAAGTTACTCTACTTAGTGACCTACATGTTATATATCATTTGTTGCTAGTTTTAATTAAATACAATGTATTGAAAGATTTTGGGAAACATTGCTTTTATAATTTCCTGATCTGGCAACCTCTCCTTGTAGCCTTGTAGCCTCCTAGTACCTTTGCCTTGCATCTCCAATACGTTTTCTGACACGTAACCCCAACGTAAAAACACAACTTAAAATGTTTCAACTTCAGGTTTTTTACTGACAGGATATAAACAGGCCAACTTTTTTCCCTTCTTCCAGTTGTTATACAAAATAAAAGTGGCTGCTAACTGAAACAATACAGCATTGCGATTTAATCAATTTACTAATTTCTGAGTCTCAGAAGTTGTTTGCAAAATGTCCATTTATATCTAGCTTTCAGATTTAACTAACTGGACTTCTTTATGCCTTTTTTTATTTTTTCAGAACGAATGTGCCAAGAGAGTCGGTGTCAGCCCGCTGCTGCCATGTGACAATCTTATCTCCAACTAGTGGATCCAGTCCGGAGTCCCAGCGCGGAAAACCTTCAGCTTCTGCTCAAATTAAAGTTCACATTGAGATACATGGGAACGAACCTTTGTACATGCAAATTGTTCACGTGTTGACAATCATATCTTATCCGTATATCAGCACTTTCCGGGTATTTTAATCTCTTCTTTAACATGTAACACAAAACACTTCCCCTTTCCATGACATTTGTGACATAAGACCAAAAATATCAACGTCTCTTTTCTTCTGAAGTAACCTTTTGAAATGTTACTATGTTTCTTGTGTCTTGGCTGGATGTGAACGAGTTAAATTCGTAGCGGTGCTGTTAAAAGATGAGCTTGCTGGTTTGTTGTCACAACAGTTCGGGTTATTCCCTTTTGGTGAGCTATTTTACTTTGTTGCTGTTAAAATGCAGTACAATTTTTTTTAAACTATATAGTTATCAAGCTAAACGTGTTATTTTTATACTGAGAAGAATTTAAAAATGACCATGCAAATGTTTGGCTTCTTGTATAGTTAAAATTGTTTTACTCCAATGTCATAAAAACAAATGCCTTACTTATGTGCCTTATTCAATAAAAGCCATACAAACCATTTTGTTTTTTTAATGCCTCATGTGTTCTGGATTATATTTATATTTGATAACACATTAATATGTTGCTCTTATTTAATGATTTTGCTTTTAATTAATACAGTATATCAATCTACAAAATAAGCACGTTCAACCACCAGATGGCGGTGTACACTTCGACATATTTGATGTAACTCCTGCAGTGATGGTCTCAAGTACAGTTAATTGAATACTTCCCTGTTAACAAGAGTTTATGAGTGGAAAACTCTGACAATTAAACTAAAATATAAAAACATCCATCAAAGAAAGTAAAACTTTTTATTTAAAGTAAACTTTTAGTCAAACCATTGTGCTAATTTTGTACTTCATTACATTTTTTTGAATGTGTTTATTGCCATCATTATCGAACAATTATTATTATTGTGTGGCCCAATCCAAATGCATTTTATTCTCCAAAGCAGTTCTCAGTGGACCATTTACTTCCAAGTGTTGTCTGCAGTTAATCAGTTATTTTTTGTGTTAAATTCATTTTGTAGTGCACAATCTCATATAAATAGCAATAACACAAACATAAAGTGTGTTTGTTCCTCACCACTAGATGGAGACACAGTATCGGTGAACCAGTGGTTTGCACATACTGTGACTCCTGGGTGACTTTAAGAATATGTACACATATTTCATGGGTTCTGCGATGTTGGTATTGTTTTTTTTTTTTAAATAGTTTACATATTAATATTTTACAATTGTAATGGAATTGGTAAAGTAAGAGATGCAAACCATATGTGAGCATCCGTTACTGAATTAAATAACCTATACAACATCATATTCAGATTTTAGACTCCTCTCTATTTCATAATGACCCATTCTGTCATAGTTGTACATACATTAATGCAACATTTGCATTGAGGTAGTCAGTATTTAATTTTTTTCAGCGAGATTGTTGTTGAATAAATGTTTTCTTATATACTGGTGAAAGCCTAGGCCAGAGGAATTATGTTTTTTTTGTTGGTACATGTCCACACACGTACATGTGTGTCATCTTTTTACATGCGGCATATTAGGAATCTCTTCCTATATGCCACACATGACCAAAGGAACTGATTTCACTTTGTAGTCAAAGGACACTTTGACTTCACCACTGTCCTATTCTGAACACAAACATTAAGCATCAAGACAAAGTGCAAAATAAACAATAATACAAAAAAATTACATAAATATGCAACTAAAACAGTAATATAAATAAGACGAGTATAAAATAAATTAATAAAAGAGACAATTCTGTAAAAATAAGGTATCATTATTTGAAATTATAAAAGGTAGAGGCAAACAGGAAAGTATTTTGGCCTTGGTTTGAACTATGTGATTCAGCAGGCCTGGGTTTGAAATCAAGCAAAAGGCCTCTGCCAGAGCCACAAGGGAGAAGGGGGACTGGGCAGTGACAGATGCCCAGATCAGGACCTTAATCTCCCATGCCAAAAGTCCTGGCACTGGGCCCCGGACCCTGGATGTCCCGTTCACACTCGGCCGGCAGCAGACAAAAGAAGAGAAATCAACAAATCAATAGGCTTTCAGCCATAACGAGGGAGGGGATGGGAGGTGGAGGAGTGTGTGGGGGGGTAAGTGATTGCTGGGCAGGGCCAGGTCTGCGGGTGTGTGAAGGGGAAGCATGGAGATTAGGTCTGTGTTGGGGGGGGGAGGGGGGAGTCATAGGATTAAGGGGCCGATTCAAACACTCCGTTATAGGGGGGAGACTCGGAGGTGTGTGTGTGCATGGATGGATAGATGGGTTCTGGGGGTCTAATCTGTCCCGGCCTTGGCCTGGTGCCTCTGTGCGGATTAGACGAGGGCCCCAAGTGCAGAGCCGCTGGCTAGGATTAAGCAGATTTTAACAGGTGTTTTCTTTTGTGGTGCTGAGGGGGTTCTGTCCATCACTCACGGAACGAGCAAATCATGAAGTGAGCGGCTAGTACTGAGGGGCCCGTGATGCCTAGAGGACATGACAAGTGTGTGTATGGGTTTTGGACTTGGCTGCCCGGGGATGACTTGTCAGTTGTGTTCATGTGTCCATTAGGGTGTGAGATGAGGAAGAGGAAAACTACATTTACCTGGAACTAAACTGAGAGATTATTCACAAGCACAAGCTGCAGGGATCTGCTGTGGGGAAGATTAGTGTAGCTGCTGCTGGAGAGCAGCGGAGAACACTTTCACACTGAAGGAGGATCAGATCAGAAGAGCTTAGAAGTCACAAAGCTTGTTACAAACCTCTTTAGCTAACAATTAGAAATACACACACAAACAACACAGCTGGTGAGATAACTGTGAGGGTAAAACAATTGGAAAGATGTGATACTCTTAGATCGTCAGTAACCTATGCACAGTTTTAAAGGGAAACATTTGATATTTTCATTTTTTATACTTCATTCCCTTTATGAGCCGTTCACTTTGTGATCCATGGTTGAAGAAAATAACACCATTTGGCTCTATCATGTGTTACTGTAATATAATTGCTGTTTCTAATTCGATAGAGTGTTGGACTCGTATGTTTTTTTTAGGAAATCAAAACAATCCACTTTAATATTATCTATCTATGAGACCATTTGACAATATCTTAGTCCTTGACATGTCATTGTGAGACAAAGTTGATATTATTAGGCCTAAATATCATACAAAGGGCATTTTTTTTGTATTACTGAAATGTGAAACAACGGTTTTTACAGCAACATAAAAATGGGATGATATGAACACATTTGGCATTGCAGTGGGACGCAGACATTTTGTGCTGCTAACCAACATTATCCAGGAAAGGCGTGTATTATGTATGAACTGACAGATAGGAGGGAGGAGTGGAGTGATGGAGAGAGTGGGAGGAGAGCTAGAAAAAAACTCTGCTGCTCTCCTGCTGGGTCTTTAATGAAGTGGAGCCACTTCCTGGTTTGTTCCTCACAGCTGTTGTCCCTACAAAGCCAAGATATTTGGCCTTGGCTCTTTGTCCTGTCCGGGCTACCATACCTCCAAAGGACCGATCGAACACGCAAAAATAAAAGCAAAGCATCTGGTGTCTTGTTCTATCAAAATGCTCGGGAATGCAAACTTGCCTCCATCTGTTCCTTTCTCACTGTGATTTGGAAATGATCATGATAGCTAAAATCTCAATGGTATTTATAGTGAATACTGGAGTTTCAGAACAACTGTATATGGATGCCTTTAAAACGTATCCATTTTGTCCTTTACTTTGATCAAATTGCATACAAGAGATTTGTTTGTTTTAGATATGTTTTCTTTATTATTTTACATAGTTCAATGCTCTCAAACATTCAAAACAAATACCTACCAGTACAGAAGCTGAAAATATAAAACAACCATATACAACAAGAAAGAGGGAATACTGGGGGAAAGACAACTTCATTATTTTTATCAAATGTTGTTTTTCACACACATTTAGAGAAATACAATGTACAATCACAACACAAATTACAAAAAAAACAGAAAAAACAAACAACAACAATCAGACAAGAGGACAAAACTAAGGATACAAATAAACCCTCCCACCCCCAATCCCAGGACCTCTCAGGACCAATCACTGCAAACAACTATATCAGTTAAGATTTCTACATCCGCTCCTTCAATTGTTCAGCTGTCGACACCCATAAACCGATATTGGAATCCTTAACTCCAATCACGCATGCAGTGGACAGTTCCGTGTAGACGTATACTTGAAGAATCGTTAGTAACCAGCAGGTCACTGAGAGCTTGTCGGGTTGTTTCCATAGCAACCTATTTCTTAGAAGCCGTAAGGCCAGCATAGAGAGGTCTTTTCTGGTACCCAGTAGCCGGCAGCTGAGATAAGTCATTCAAAAGAGAAACAGGTACAGGTACAGTCAAAGAAAATATGTGGGACAACTTAGAGGAGACCCCGTTCCAAAAGCGAGCAAAAGGCGGGCATTCCCAGAACATACTGTATGGAGAAATGTAGACGACTTCCTTATTGAACCAAAAGTGATCATGTCACTAGTTGGCCTTCTCACTTTATTTCATTTTGATCCGATTCACAATCCGGCTCTTTGCAAAGTAGGTTTTCACATACTTCATTTGAATTTTCTTTGGTGTTTTGGTGCATAACACAAAATGAATTATTAAAGAGGAAATTACATTAAAAAAAAAAAAGCATGTTCAAAAAAAAAAAGCAGAAAAATAAAATAGAAGAACATTAAACTTATAAAATAATGATGTGAAATATGTTCAATTCATCATAATTACAATTAAAGCTGTA